TGCCACCAAGGGGGGAATTCTGATGTATTGTGGAGTCCACAGGTCTAGATGGCTGACAGGAGAACCTAAATCTGCATAAATAGACCTGAGCTTGATGAAGCCTTAATAGTATGTTTAGGTTCTTGAGCAGTTAATGGAACCACCAGATCAAAACAAAAGACTAGATAATCTGATATTCTCGGCTCATGAACCCCCAGGTCATTAACCGACAAGACCATGGGAAATAAGGTGCAATATGTGTCCTTTGTTGTGAAAAGACATACAGTATACACATGTGAAAAATTAAAGAAATTTAGGAGGGCACAGAATTCTGCCCATAAAGAGCAGTGAAGAGAGTCAATGTGAATATTAAAATATTTTCTTTTGCTGGATAGCTCCCACATCTCTACTTTGTCCAGACAGGAAATCCAGTTTGGAACAAAGAAAAGACTACAAACTGAGAGCAGGCCATTTGGGTCTGTCTACCCTTTTGGTATTTAGTACAGATAATTGATTCCAATGATTTTGTCCAGCTGTTCCTTGAGAGAAGCTATGGTATCAGCCTTAACAGCATGGCTGGGTAGCCTGTTCCATAATCCAAAAGCATTTTGTGTAAAGAAGTGCCTGCTGCTCTCATATTTAAATGCACTTCTCCATAATTTCAACTTGTGACCACTAGATGCATGTTTCTGTACAGGATAAGGGGAAGGTCTTGGGGTAAGGTGGCCTCTTTTGGCTTTAGAGCAGCCATATTCATTCTTGTAGTATAGCCACCAGATTTCCAACCAGTGGAAAGTAGCCTGCAAGCTCTTCGCTGGATAAGGTGGGGGACACGACACAGTAAGGAAGCAGTCAGTGCACAGATGCTACCATCTCGACCATTTGATCATGCTTGGTCAAATGGTAGACGATTCCTAGTTGAATTTAAAAAGAAAGAGCGTCAGTTTCATGCTAAAGGTGGGGGTTTGCTTAGAATAACTCCTAAGAGAGACAAAGAACATGAGGAAGTTTAGAAACAAGAGGAGCCATTTGCACATCCTGGTCCAAGAATCTCAACAAACTGTTTCCTTAACGGTCTGATAGTGTGGCTGTGTTGCTTACACCAGATACCCATCGAGCTTTGTGTGAGGCACTGCACCCTACTCTGAATCTGGAATGATGATGAACAAAAAAAAAACAAAGAGAAAAACACTTCAAATCCAGAATCACTAAAGATCTTTTAGTTTTGACTATACCCTCACTCCATTGCCATTGGACTGCTGAAAAAGGAATAGCCTGGAAGTTAGGAAAGGAAAGATGGTTTGAGGAGTGCGTGCCCCAGTGACTGTTCGCCTCGGTTTATTCCCCTTCTGTTTCTGTTGTTGAAGGGCAAAGGCTCAGAGGAGACCTATTGGCTGATTGGAAAAGATGGCTTCACCAAACCCCTGCCTGTCCCACCGGAGATCAAGTCAGGGTAAGGACAGCAATGCTAACTTTTGCGTGTTGCTTACTGTAAGTGTTTGCCTTGTTTATGGTGCCTCTTTAATGTATTTTGCAGGCAAATGGCTCATGGCTTGCAGATGGAGGAAATAGCCGCATTCAAGCGCCGGAAAGCAGAAAAACAGCTTGCAAAGAAGAATAACTGAGGTAATGTTATGCATGTAAAATGTATAACATTACGTGTTGATGACATGGGCATCATGGGTTGGAGAAATCTTGTCCACCACCTTCCAGCTCTTTCTTTCTCTCTCCATGTGTCTCCTCAAAGTCATTAATCACTTTTTTTTTTCAAATTAAGACTGTGAAACTGAACTCCTCGAGTCACACAAGAAGAGAATTCCACTCTCTCTCTCTCTCTGGTTCTCGAAATTTAAAAAAACGGGTTGTTCTTTTCAAGCAAAAGGTACCTTTGCCCTTCTTCGGAGGATCAGCTCTTCTTCCCGATCCTCACATTTCTAACCTTTCTTGATCTTTTTGAAGAATATGAAGGCAAGGAGTGCGCTCCAATGAAAAGTTTTAGTTGCCTGCAATGATGTTTGTGAAAGGAAGGTTTAAGAAAAACAGATTTCTTCATGAGGTGTAAAGAAACAGCAGAAAAACTTCACTTTTTCCAAAATGTACCAAACATTAATATTTCAAAATTGAAATTGAAATTAGTGCTTGTTCACCTGCCAAAAATGTCAGTCCCAAGAGATGTTGTATTTAGTGATTTGATGTATAACAGATGCTCAAGTCAACTTTGTTTGTCCATGCCTAGGAAAAATAATTAAGATAACCTAAGTATATATCTGAGCATGGATACAATCCTGTTAAGGAGACTTGCCCCTTTCCTTCCTTAATTTTGATCGTACTGAAGTAACCTAACCTGTGGTTAGGTGGTATAATGAACAGGTGAGTTGTGTGGAGACACTGGAAGGTGGTGAAAGTTAAGGCCAAAGTGATGATGACAAAAAGGCCCTTCTCTTACCTACACTGTCTGACATTCATCTAGCTTCCTGTTTTTGTTTTTGTGTAAACAATGACGGAGGCTCCCACTTTTTAACATTTTGCCCTCATGTCTTCTGCTGGCCCAGCTGAGGGGCCACCTCATAGCTGCAGCATTCCGTGAAGACAAATGATGAGGAGTGGGGGTCCTCCAGATTTAATTTCTAGTCAGATCCTCAGTATTGCTGCTCAAGCACAGGGTGATGTGCTTATGGCCCGTTGCTTGATTTTATGTAGATTTTGGATAATGAGGTGTGAATACAAACTCATTGTCTGCAAAAAGAGGCCTGTGCAGTCATTCCAATAATCCCTTACCAGTCTCTTCTTGGCCTGACATAAGGTGAGATAAAACACGCTGAGGCTGGAAATGCACCTCTCTGCGTTTCTTTAACAATAAACAGCTCACAGAAAATTCCACCATTTTCTCTTCATTCATTGAGGTGATATCAGGCTTGCCTTGCCTTTTTTAGAATTAGTCTCTACTGTAAGGTTGCAAGCAATTCTTGGGTAAGACTCATTTTGTGTGTAGTTTACAGTCACTTGAAAGTTGTCTTATTCGGTAAAAGACTGCCTTACATTATGTGTTCTGTACTATACTATATATGAGTGATGTCGTTACATTTCAGATACTTTTCATTATATTTTCATAATGGAAAGCCACTGTGTTATTGTACTGTTGCCACAAATTGTGTTGTTACATTGAGGGTGTGCTTTAAAACAATTTTCCTCAATGGGACAATAAAGCTTGAATTGAATACATTTGTCTTCCAGGGCAACTGGACAAAGAAACTGTTTATTGATTGTGTGTAATCATTATTGTATAATCTCCTATAAGGGCTCTTTATAGTAAAGTGTTACCTCTGCGGATCAGTGTAGTTTTTCAGCCGTGATTGTGTTATAAAGCAGATGTGTCTTTAATTCACATTGTGACTGATATAATACATATGTTTGTGGTATTTCTGTCATTTAACAATATACCTGGCTGCCTGTATAAAGTACTCAAGGTCTCTTTCCCAGTGTTGGCATAGTAACAGGAAATTGCACATTAAGCATCATTGTTCCTATTGCCTCCTCCTGTGCTGCTAACACCTTCTTATTTTACTGCTGTTCTGAATTTGTTTTTTACATGGTTGACTGAATAACAGTACTGACAATAATCTGTACACAGAGGCTTTGCAAATGAAATTAAAGGAAGGACAAAACTGACTTTATCTCTACAGGCTTGACAATTAATCGTTGCTTTCTTTCAAGTTTCAGGTTAAAAAAAAAACATTGTCGTAAAACTTTGATTTGAGATGGCCCGGAAGTACCAGTCTGCTCCATTTTACATGGAAAAGGAAAACGTGTGTGCTCATTCCAGTTTCTCGTCTCTTTCAGGCCAGGAGTGCCGAAGGACTTGAGACATATGCTTAAGAAGGCAGTCAGGAAGCTCGCGCATGTTCAACAGGTCACTCGGATAACAGCGCCCGATTACACAGATGGCACGGTTGGTATGTGCCACCACTGAGGCCTGCCTATTGAAGGTGGTCCGACACCTGCTGGTGGACAAGAAGAAGCTCCAACAGGCTTATCAGCCCCAGCGACTGATATCTGAAGCAGCCCTAGGAAGAAATACCAATGCTTTATCCTGATTGTAGCTATTGCTGTGCTCTTAAACTGGAGACCTACTGCTCCAGCCCCCAGAAAAGACAACTTCAGACTCCTTTTTTTTCCAGCTACCGGAGCCCCTGTTGTAAAAGACTTCGCCCAAATGTTCTGCAGCACAAATGGATTTGTGTGGAGCCAGTCTTTTGGGACTGTACAGCCTGCTTTCACTGTGGTTTGGCCCTGCCTTGATTCAGGACTCTCAACAAGGGAGCTGTGGTTACATAAAGCAGCCAGAGTGCAGGCCCTGCCCCAGAATCCAGTGATGGCAGTCAGGTGTGCTTTCTACAGCCCTTTCGAAGAGGTTTCTGGAGGAGCTGAGCAGAGCTACCCACTAAACCGGGATGAGGGAGGTTACATAGTTGCTTGGCTGGTTAGAGCTTAGAGGCTTTTTTTAGTAGCACCTTTGGAGACTACAGTCACTTGCTGAGTTAAAAATAGCTTGTGGGATTTCACTTCTAAGCTTGGCAAGGATCGGATCTGTCCTTCTCTCCCTTTGTTCAGAAGAGAATCACCTGTTCTGTTTCCATCAGGTTAAATTTGTCCTTGAGGATGGAAAAACATGTTTCATCCCTCTGCTCACGAGTGCAAAGACCTGGATTGGGAGGGATGCATTTTCCGTAGCTTTGGAGGCTCAATGTCCTGTCTAATTTTGCTGGTTCTTTCATTTGGAACACTTGTGTGTATAATGCAAAAGGAATCGTGTCTGCTGGACCTGACAGTCCTGTTGCCCAGAGATGGTGGCCCAAGGACCTCACCAGGAACAGATAAGAATAGGAACATTATAATTCCTTGTGTCTATATAGCGCCTTTTCTAACAAAGGATCTCAAATGGCTTTACGTGTAGGAGGGAAACACGGAATCGCAGCAGTGTTTGAGACATGTGCATCACCCATACTGCACTAGCAGCCCAACTACACAGCACACGAGGTGGTGAACTGAGAAATTACGTTGGAAATTTTGGGAGGGCAGACTAAGCAAGCCCAGAACGGAGCATGGACTCCAGAGTTAACACCCCTAATATTATGGACAGTGCCATTGGATCTTTAATAACCAAGCAGATAGAACATCTGTTTAATATGTCACCTGAAGGACGCCTCCTATGGCTCAGTGCTCCCTATCACCATAGTGGGGCATTGATTTAGGAAATTCTCATCCAGAGGGAAGAGGATCACCTATTGGTCCACAAGCACCACCTACAGCAGTAGCCTGGTTTTCCTTAATGGATTCCCATCCCACTACTGACCAGGCCCAGCCTTGCTTAGCTTCTGAGATTCGGCCGACCAGATGAGGTTAATCATGTGGATTTTCTGGAGTTGCAACGCAAGGACGAGGAGTCAAGCTAATACAGCCTGTTACTGTGTATTGGTGACAGTGTGAAGTTGGTATGAAAGCATAGCACATGCAAATGCAATAATATTAATGCAATCTCCAATGTATTTAATTCAGGTCAGAATTAAATGGCCAGCACTTTCAAAATAGCTAGATTTTCTAGTGTTTTTTGCTTTAAAAAAGAAACATCAAAAAGAAAAAATCAAACCACGGATCCATTGAGTTAATCTAGATCTCCACTGATTTCCCATGGGCAAGGAAAGTCTTGGCGTAGATTAAGCGTTTTGGCAACAGTGTGTATTGGCACACAGAGTTGGGTTGTGTCACCTAATGGACCGCTTTCCAGTCTATATCAGGAATGCTGTTAGTACAGCTCCAGCATAGACAAAAGGATTATTCTGGAGAATATTCCAGCTCACACACAACCAGAGAAGACAGATGGCCTCTTCTGGTTTGTCACCTTACCTACGTGCTTATGTTCTTTGCCGATCACAGTTTGTTAATGCCAGGCCTGAACTACTGCACACTCCCAAGATGAAACAGCAGGTGACCCAGATATGAAGTTTCAAGTCTCGTTGGGCCAAAGGGCCTCCACTTATTTGTAGTTCTTGTTCTTGTGTTCTTAAGTGGAATGTATTCAGTGATGCACAAAAGTCACTATTTGAACTGTACGGGAACTGTTAATATTTTTGTTTTCATTTGAATGCACTGTATGTACCTTTATGAAATAGTACATCATGTACAGATTAAACAAAAAAAGGAATGAGATTGTTTTGGTTTTAGCAGTCAGAAACTATTTCAAGTGTATGTATGAATATGATTATACAGTTTGTGGTGAATATACTAAATGGTGCTCAAGACTGTTGTGCTGTACATGCTTTTCAATGCCATTTACTGCATTAACCCAATCAAGCCAATGCAAATTAATAGTGATTGATATGGAAAGGGGTAATAAGATTCACCCTTAGGAGTTCTGACACAAGAAGCTTTATTCTAATTATTTGATTCTTTCAAAGTACAAGCCAGTGGGTTGAGGATTTTTAAACTGTTAAGCAGCAACCAGCTAGACTAGGTAGTAGGTCATCTTTTTATTTGATTTAGTCATTTTCCCCGCTTAGCTCAAACTTGCTACTTAGCCCCTGTGAGGACTAGGATAGATGGGTCTGTCTGTACTGTGTTATGGCTTGGAGAAATTCCAGGTCCCAGCAGAGGGTGCAGAATGGATTACTCTTAAAGGATGCTTTCAATTTTTCAATCTCTGGAGAGCAGTGGAGAGGATGCTTCACAACCAAGTCTTCCCAGTGCTCCAGGCCAACCCCACACAGCTATTACACCTCCCACTGCAGTCAGTTTCTGTCTCAGCCTGGAGTTTCATTGCCCAGGAACATCAGGCTCTGCAGGCTTATAATGGAGAGGCCCCAGACATCCAGGCCCTTTTAGGTACAAAGCACTCAGATTGTGTCATGGAATGCATCACTGATGAGAAAAAACACAAGCCCCAGTCACTCAGCCCCTTGTGTAAACTGGGCCTTGCAAAACCACGTTCTGTGGTACTTAATTTCCTGGTTAATAGTTCTACTTATTGGCTTTTACAGATAGTTTTACTCTTCTTTGCTTTCAGTCCTTGTTTCAGAAATTGAAAAGGAGATTTTGCCAGGAGATTTAGCAAACAGAGCAAACCAGATCACCTGGTTAATTAACTATTATTCCCCTACAGCTTTAGCTAAACAGTTCTTAATGTGTTATCGGTTAATGCTGTAACAGATGCAGCAGGGATTTTCACTCTCCCATAATAATCATTCATACTTTTTTCCATTTTTCATTAAGCTAATTATTTCAATTCTAGACACGTGCTCTTGGAATCAGTATACTGAAAGGGAGGTTTGAACCCCAAGACTTTGTACAGGTGAAAAGGTTGTTTCTAATTCAGTGCAATGTTGCAAGAGCAACAGAACAGCTTACAAAAAGCCCAAATAAGGTTAATGTTTCAGCTAAAGGGATCAATTAGCCTTAGTAATTAAGAACCCCATTAAGAATAAAAAAATTATACCAGGATGACTTTCAGGAACAGGAAAGATAGTCACGATAGAGAACTGTGTACTCTTTCTTCTTAGAGCATATTCATTTTTTAAGGAGAAAGTTGCAATAAAAGTGTCTTTAAGACTTTTAAAGTAATAATATCAAACCACTTTACAATACACAAAAAGCACATTAAAATACAATTAAATACCAACACAAAGAAAAATGAAATACAGAAGATCACACAAATCTTCAGAAAGAGCATGTGTTAAGCTAGACTTAAAAGTCCCACAATGTGACTCAGACCTTGATTTGGGGGATTTTTTTTTTGGGTGGAGGGCACAGCAGCAGCAGGCCCACAGAGTAGAGGAACAGTGAGGACACAGTGTACCAGGATCGGCGAGTTCAAGTTTAGAGGGGAGTAAACAGAAAATATATCAGCTCGATGCTGTGGGGTCAAGCCACGCAGAGCATTGAAATTAACTCATAACCTGACAGGAAACCAGTGCTGGGACTCTAAGACAGGAGTGATGTGATCACAATTTTGTGTGATGTCAGGATTCAAGCTACTGAATTCTGAGCATATTGTGACCAAGAGTTATTGTGTTCTTTTGTAAAATAATTGTAAAAGCGTAGTGAATTAGCATAATGTGAAACATCAATGTAAAGTCAAATGTAACTATAATAAACAGTCTTTTGTCTTAACTAGAAATGCCATAGTGAACAAGGTAAATATTTTAGATTTGACAGTACTGGCAGTCTATTGTTTTTCTGTTCCTAGATTCTGCTTTACATTTTGGGAGATCTTTATAGTCCACATTTGCCTTGTTATTTTGGTGTGTTATTGGGGGGAAAACTGTGCTGTCAGATATTCTCAGCACCATCGATTGTTGGAGAGCACTGTACATATAGAGTATGATAAGTCCAGTGTGTCTGTGGACTTGGACAGGTTACAACTCTGACTTCACGATTCTTTTTTGGTTCACAAACATTGACCACTAGCAAATTAGTCAGCTGAAATTGATTAGACTGTCAAGTAGGTACATACAGTAGGTTGTCTTTTCACTCACAAGTCCTTCAGATTAGGAAAAGAAATCATTGCAATTGGTTTAAGATTTGCTACAGTTCGATGCATGCTTTGGATTGTTATTTCTTTGTGAAGTCCATATGCTACCCAGCAGGACAGAAACCACTGGTTTCTGGCTAAAATATCCTTTTAAAATATATAATCTGTTCCTCATTCCTAACTGGGACACCAGGACTAGAGGGTCCACACCAGTCTTAAAGTAGATCACATTAATTTCTCTTCCCAGGAGGGATGACATTCTTTTTCAACAAGAACCTCACTTTTCCATGCAAATTGTACCACTGACGAGACACCGAATTTGCGTTTCATCCAACCACTTCATGTGGTTTCCTTTTGACATGGCAGTCAGACAGTTGCTATTAGGCAAATTCTTGTCTTTCCTGTTTATGTTGCCACAGAGCTCTGCCACAGACCCCAGAGCCATGAGGTCAGTCCTGAAAGGGAGCCACAGAGACATTTATACCCCGATGATGCCAGAGTTTCCTCAGAAATTCTGAGTTCTTGTCCTTAGATGTGAGGTAGCCTCTCAGATCACTTTTCTGACTGCAGCTCAGGACAGATGTTGGGTGGTAAACATCCCTTTGTCTTTGAACACCACAGTGAAAACTGGCATCTTAGGTATTTTTATAGGTGACACCAGAGTTTTTAAGGTCAGTAATCGTTTGCCTTTGACCATCAATTTTCTGCCTTTTCCTTTGGTGATATGGTACTCGGTGCTCCACTTCTGTGCCCAGAATCAAGGTATCATTACAGAAGGAACTTTAGTCACACTGCAGTTTATGTCTCAATTATAATTGACTATGAACTATGACTATGATCGATGAACGTGTTATTATTCAATTACACCCTATGGGCATGGTTAGATATGGTACAGACTGTGCTCAGGATTAGTTTTTTTGCTAAGTAATTTCTGTCCCTCTGTTAATATTTTATCAATATTTGCCATTACAACTTCTAATATAGTGTTAAGTTAATTAAACTTATAGATGACTAAGTACAGAAGTATTCATTAAGTTTTAATTATTTTTTTCAACATACAGGGTATGAATTCTATATATATTTTCAAATTGCTTTTTCATACACCGACATAATGTTTAAATCCAGAAACTGTGAAAAATGTGAAAATTCTTCCATTGTGATGGAAGAAAAAATGTTGGTTGAAAGAACAGTAGCCAGGATCATGGGGGGAAAATAACAGACAGAATAGAAAATACACATGCAAAGTTAAAAAGAACAACTACCACTATAAAGTAGCCTGGCGGGCTGACCCTCACGGTTGAGGGGTGATGAGACTCACAGGTATTGCACTGGAGCAGAGAAAGAGGGGAGCACAGCAGCATCACCTGGAGAGGCAGGGAAAGGTGGACCAGATGGTGACCTCAATACTGAATGGATTATCTGCCACTCGGAGCACTTAAGAAGGACACAGGCTGGGAGGTCACTCTTAACGAGATTAAAATCATCCTAAAGCTAATCGTCGCTTGGGACAGATTAATATGCACTATATTTTTATAGTATTGTACCATATTCCACCCCTGAAGAACATGGGCGAATTAAAGAAGAGGCACTGTGGTCTACCCAGCTTTGAAGTGACACACTACACGGACCTGATTTTCTTTTTAGACTCGCCAACTGGGAGCGGCGATTCCTTTTCACATCCATTTAACAGCACAGCAGTAGCCACTGCCTGAGACAAATTAGTCTTCGGGGCAGCAGTATGTCCAGTCCCCCACCAGAGTTTTACAATCAACGCCACAAAAAAACAGGAAATGGTGAAACATGGCAACTGTTTCAATCTTCTGGGGCAGGAAAGGTTTGCGAAGCAAAATGATCCCATTTGTTTTCAGACAATTGGGAGTTTAATTCAGACCACTGGTTCAGTCTAGTTTAACATGTTATGACAATGCGGTACAACAGGCCACCAACGCGTTCTTCTGCAGGGCTGGTGAGGAAGCTTGACATCACATGTCTTACAAAGTAGATGCAATTGTCTGCCACACTAGTCATGAGACCACTGGACACTGGAGGGCTGTGGGTTCAAATCCCACTCTGCTGCTATTCCTTTGAACAAGGCACTGTGCTCCGATTCTTTAGCAAATCCATCTGTATAAACAAGTAGCAAACTCCATGTCTTAAAAAATAGACATCGGAAATTCACTCAGGATAAAAGCATCAACTGAATTAATAGTAACCCTTTAAGACAATTATGAGGTTCACTGTAGTATCTTTTTTTTAATAGCAACACAATTCTATTTTCCACAAAAGCTCATAGCCCCCTTTCAGAAGTAACAGGATATTTTTAATACACTTATTAAAGGAGTAATCTCAAACCCTGGTCCTGGAGAAACCTGATTCAGTAAGTTTTATATCACATTGTAAATCACCAGTGAACCAAAGTTGGGGTCACCAGCTTGAGAAGGATCAGCTTGATGGTAACCTATGACTGATTCTCAACCAATGGTTCTGGAGGAACATGTTGGTGTTGGTTTTTTTCTCTGGCTGGGGCTGAAACCACCAGTGCTAACTGAGCCACAACCTGTTTCCCTGTTTCTGAAGAAAAGCTCTTTCTGGGTGAAGTTTGTCTTATGTTACATGCACCTACAAGTAATGTTTTTTTCCCCTTTCTGCAGATGCCCAGTTAGTTACATTTCAGGTAACACATGAAAACAGTACTGGACTTCAGAAATTAATACTGATTACAAATTCCATTTGACTTTTTAAGGGGAGAAAAGACATTTACAAATGTGCTGCAAACAGAAAAGTGGAACCTATGTGCCTGTGATTGCAATAGTAAAAACCAGAAGATACAGTGTGCCTCTGGAACCAGGACTGAGTATCACTGCTGTAGAAATCTTGCTGACACAGGGTTCTCCAGAAACAGCACTGATCATTATTAAACAAACATTGAAAATAATAAGTCCCAATAAGCACTGCAATTACATTTTTCTGTTGCCCTATTTTTTTCAGTCAGTCTGTTCCAGGTTCAGAACTCTGAAGCATTTCATGGTGCTGGTGGCACTTAAATATGCAAATTCTATTATTGCTACTATTACGTATCATTAAATAACATTAATGTAGTATGCCATTTTAATATATAATAGCAATTAAATATGTCAATGATATACAACATTAAACATATATAGATTTAAAATATTGATCTAATGCCTAGGAAGATATGAAATTTATTTGGGGGTAAGTTTGTGTCTAAACTATTCATTCATCTAGTTGTTTAGAACCATTAAGTCAGCTTGTGTTACATCTGTTGTGTTACAGGCTTCTTGAGAGCAGAGAGACCACAAGGAGACGCTGTGTCACTTTGACACGCTGGGGAAAGCGCACTAGCCGGGATTCTGCGCTGTTTCAATTCGGTTCCAGTCTGGAGCAGACGTGGCTGTTCCTAAATCATTATTGAAACTAATCATAAAAGGTGATAGTCGGTGATAGTCGACGCTTTAATTAATTCATTCCTTAATTAACGCAGCATATGACTAAGCAAGGACAAGCATACATCAAATAAAATTAGTTCGTGTTGGAACTTTTATCGTTCACAAGAGAGACATAGGCGAACCAAATGATACCTCAAAACTACACTTCTGCATTAAAAAGCCGCCGTTAAATTAAAAGGTTCGCTGAAAACGCAGATTTTAAGGAAGAAATAGCATATTATCTGTCTAGAAGGCACCTCACTCTGGTGATCTAAAGCTCTCAATTCACTACGCCGCACTTCATTATATTAGTTTAGGTGGGTAGCTGCGTCAGCATGCGTAGGCTGCAAAGGAACAAGTAATAGGTTTATTCCATGCTGAAAAAAAAAGAAGAAATAAAATACCTGAAGAAGGCTCCACGGCCGAAACGTTGTGTTTTCTTTCTTCTTTTTTTTCAGGATGGAATAAACGTATTACTTGATCATTATATTATTGTTGTTAGGCTAAAACAGACAGCATTTTGACACATTCTCGGAATTTGAGACTTCTAAAAACATTTCTGCCTTAATAGAGGTAGAGGTAATAATTGGTGTATACTTTCAAGGATTTCAATCTGTAAACTGTATTGTGAATTGCAATTGTGTAATTTATTGTTTCCCCATTTGTTTTTCTCTTTTCGTTAATCTAATCCCTAGAAATTTTTGTCCCTTCTACTCTTCTATCCCGACAACACCGCTGTATTGTTCGTGCATTCATACATTGATTGCTTGATTGCTTGATTGTTTTATTGTTTGATTGCTTGATTGATGATTGATTGTGTGTGTTTATAAATCACTTTATACTTACGAAGGGGTCCAGTACATTCAGCCATTTGGCAATCCACTGCAACGCCGATCGGATAGAGACCTGAGAACTTGTTTTATCAAAGGAATAAAATCTCTTTAACTAAACATGATTACGAACCCCATTATATTTAATAGGCAAATATTTAATAATCAGGTTCTAAAGACCTAGAGCAATTTAACCATGATTAATTAAACAGCTGATTTGTTTAATTAAAAAATTTCGAAATCATTTGGGATAACTCCTTTATCGTATTGGGATAAATCTACTGAGACAAGGAATCATTCTTATTGCTCTTTTTCACACTCCTTCGAGGGTAAGACTGTACTGTCAGTGGTGTAGTGGGCCAAAACTGAATGCAGTATTCAAAAAGAGGAATGAGCAGAG